CCAACCCGAATAGGAAGGATAGGCAACCTTCCCAAGGGCATCCCTGCATCCTTGCCTCCTCGGTCCATCCTTGGCTATTTTCGTTGGTCACTTTCGTTGGCCGCGCCCCGCTGGACGAGCTCCGAAATGGGCGTCCAAGGCTCCTTGCATCCTTGTCGCGCATCCTTCTGATACTGTATTCCTCGATCATCTCCCCTCAGCTGCGTCGTGCGCACGCCTTCTGCGCGCGCGCCTGCTCCTGCTGCAGGACGTCGTGTGCCTGGACGCCAAGGCTCTCCAGGACGCGGGACATGCCGCGGGGGGGGGGGGGGGGGGGGGGGGGAGGGGGGGGGGGGCTTTCTCGGGGCCGCGCGAGGAGCGGGAGAGGGGGTCTCGCTCTCCTCCTTCTCCTCCTTCTCCTCCCTCCTCCTCCCTCCTCCTCCCTCCTCCTCCCTCCTCGGGTCCAGGATGTCGGCATCGGTGTTCGGCTCCCTCCTCCTCCTCCTCCTCCTCCTCCTCGTCCTCCCTTCCTGCCTCCCTTTTCTCCCTCCGTCCCTCCCTCTTTCTTTTCTTCGTCCTCACTCCTCCCCTCCCTCCCTGCGCCCACTTTCGATCGGATCCAGGCTGGAAGTTATCAAGATCCAGGCCGACCGAGGTGATAGTCGGGCGCACGCAGCGTCCAGCGTGAGGGCCAGGCAGCAGCTCGTGGCTCTCGCTGATGACGCACGGGCAGGGAAAACGTCGACAGGGATAATTTCGGTCGACTCGGCGCTCGACAACAACCTCCAGCAGGAGGCGGCGGAGCTGCTAGGCGAGAACACATTCTGCATGACCAAATGCTATGACACTGTCAACCCACACGCCCTTCTTCGTGAAGAGGATGCCCTTGGATTTTCTCTTCGGTTACTCTGGATGCCAACCGGTCGCTGTCGACAGCTTCGGAAGATCAATGCGATTGGGGCTCCGTCTCGGTGTTCCGTCTTGTTCCAGGGGGTCCTGGCTGGGTGCGCGCACGTTGCCTTCCTCTTGCACCTGCTCATTTATCGCACCGTGCAGCGGGTCAACTCGATATCGCCCACCATGGCTCCCGGCACTCTCATGGATGACATCGCGTTGCAATGTATTTCTAGTGACCAAGGGAACCATCAAGGACCGTTGTCTGGCAGCAAGGGACTTTGTTGTGGACTAGGCTGGGTTCGGTATGATCCTGAAGGCTTCGAAGTCTGGTGCGTCGGTGGTTCCACTGGGCCGCGACAGGCTTTGCAGGCACCGACCAACCGAGCTTGGGCGCTTGCGGCGTTGGGTTCGACGCCCAGGCTGGCCTGAGCGGGGACGTTGCTGCCCGTCACCGCCAGCGCCCCCATACGTGGCGCTCGCGGGGCGGCAACCCTGGCCAGATCGCCGCGCCCATCGACGGGGTGTTGCGCCCCGAGGTCTGTGCAGGCCCACGTGGCCTCCATGAAGATCCCTCGCAAGGCCTACGTGAGGAACCTTGGCCACGGGTTGAAGGCCCTTTGCGTGCTTCGTAACATTGAGAAGCGGAGGTTCGCTGGACTTGAGCCCGACGCCGTCGTTCCCAACCCGTGAAACCAGGTGCAGCAGGAGAGCTTTAGTTTTGTGGCGCACGGGCGCCCTTCCGTAAGTGGCGTATGTAGCCGCAGTTGTCGGAGTCTCTGGGCTCTGTCTTTTTGCTGCTGTTCTTAACGGGTCCCCAGGTCGGTCGTCGACAGGTCACAGCCTGCCTGATCAGCCATAGGCCTGAGCGCTGCGGCCCGATCTACCGGGCTCCCTGCAGGTGGTTCTGAGATATGTTTCGAGGGAGTGGGGCTCCAGGGTGTAGCCTCGCTGTCTATATCGCGCATGGTATCGTCTGATGGGTCAATTTTTGGGACAAGCCTACGTGGGCCCAGGCCAGAGGCCCTTGGGGGCTACTTGGTTATCTCTCAGGAGGATTGCTTGCGATTTGGAATCCTGCCACGTCGTCGCGGATGGCCTGGGTAACTGCTGATTTCAAGGTCTTCCTCATTGCAGGGGTCCAGAGGTGGCGGCATGAGCGGCTCCTTCGTCATTCTTGCACCGCCGAATCGGGGCCCCGGTCTGACATCGAGCTCTCTGCAATGCTGTCTCTCGTATCAAGTTTGTGCGAAGTTTGGGGGCCCTACAGGCGCGCTGGGCTGGGGGCTTCCTTTAGCTGGCGCTTCCCACATTTTTTCGTCGGCGGCGAGGCAGAGTGGCTGCGCCAGCGATGGATCTAAACGGGGACACCGAAAAACGAATTGGCCAGCATGCAGGAGGAGGAAGACGGACAGGGCGGCCGCGGAGGGTGGAAAGAGACGGGCGCTGTTCAGAGGCGGAAGACTTCCGTCCCGAGTGAGCTGGCGCGGCCGGCCCTGTCAGAGGAGACCATGGCAGCAGCGGGGCCGCAGCGCCAGGACCCCCGTTAGCGACGACGGGGCCCAGTACGAGGAACAAGTGCTGCAGTGATGCCGTCGGTGAAGCAGAGGTACTTGCACGTCAGGAGAAGCGCCACGTGGCCGTCCCGGTGGGTGGCTGGATGTCAAGGTACGGCAAGTCCGCGAGTAGCCTAGGTTTCAGACTGTTACCGGCAAAATGCTGGGCCCGCGAGCCCGTGCGGGCGGCAAGACCAGGCCAGCACTGAACACGGGGGGGGGCGGCCCGCTGCGGTAGCGGCGTGGGCGCCATGGCGGCGCGCGGAGGGAGGGGGGGGGGCAAGGCGCGGGGGGCAAGGGAAGAGGGCGGGGAGGAGGAGCGCCCCGCCTGTAGGGAGGTACCCGCAGGCGGGGCGGCAGCCCAGGCGCCAGCGCCCGCCTGGAGGCCCGCGCACTGGGGCTGCGGGCGCCTGCGCACGCTGCCCCAGAAAGTCAGGGCAGGGCGGCGGGCGCCCGCCCTGCAGCCGTCCAGCAGGGGGCTGCAGAGCGGGCGTGCAGCCAGGAACGAAACTGTGGCAAAGGCCGCGGGGCCGCGCGCTCCGGGGTGGACGGCGCGCGGCGGGTCTAGGGGCACTTAATCGGTGCGGATAGTGCTAATATATGGTGGCCGAGGCCATGGAGAGCCGCGCGCTGCCGGGTGGACAGCACGCGGCCGATCAAGGGGCACCTAGCAGGTGTAAAATCCTGTATGGAAGATCTCAGCTGAAGGGATTCTGCATGCGGAAACTACTATTTCAAAACTTGGTTTTACAGGTTTGGCAACAATTATCAGACGCCGCAAATGGGAATGGGTACAAGTGGTTGCTACCAGCGCTACAAAATAATGGGCACGATCGGTTTTGCAATGGGAGCCCGGGCGCGATGTGCACGTGCAGACGCATCGACGAGCTGGCCGCCCCCAAACAAGGTTGTGGGACGATCTTCTACGTCACACACAGCAGTGCGTGCCAGATGCACCACGTACGTTGGCAGATGTGTTACAACTTGCAACCACATATACTTGTGACAATATCACACCAGGGTATATCATACAGTGAGTAAATGAGTCGGTGCGTAGTAATTCATCAAGTTGTTCATGTTTCACATACATATCTTTGTCTAGTCGTTCACATTTTGCTTCTGTCCTATGCCTGCCCTCTGCGTGTGTGTGTGTGTGTGTGTGTGTGTGTGTGTGTGTGTGTGTGCGTGTGTTTGCGTGTCTCTCTCTCTGTTTCCCTCTCTCTCTCTCCCTCTGAGTATCGTGTCTAGTTCGCTTGTGCTTTGTCACGCTGCCATTCATTATCACTCATAGCGGCGCCCCGGCGCCCACCTGCTGTGCCCCCGCGGCACCTCGACTGCAGGCCGATGGCCGATGTCCGATGTTCGATATCCGACGAGAAAAGGAGTGGAGGAGGAGGAGGAGGAAAAGGAAGAGGAGGATTCTGCTGGATTCTGCTGCCTTGCCAATCGCGTGGCACTCCACTTTTCTGCAGCCCCTAGGGTCGCAGGAGGAACACGAGCCTCTGCGACCCCAGGGCGCCTGCCGAAAGAAAAACACGGGCCTCCGCGACAGCATCGCAGCGCAGGAGGAACACGAGCCTCCGCGCGAACAAGCCCTGGCGGCGGAGGAGCTGGAGCCTCCGCCCGCCAGGCAGGGCGCAGGAGGAACACGAGCCTCCGCACCGCACCAGGAGTGCCGCAGGAGGGCACGAGCCTCCGCGGCACTCACGACATGGCCGCCTTGTAGGGCGGGGGGCCGAGCTTCACCATGAACGCAGCGCGTTCGTCATCTTCCATGCCCCAGACATCGTCGACCACTTCATCAGCTGCCGCGTTGAACCAGGCCTCCGCCTGCGCCAAGGCGGTCTTAACCTGCTGGACGCCGAAGGCCGCCTGCTGCGTGACCTCGTACTTCCTGACGTCGGTCACGACACGGACCAGGCCGCACTGGGCCAGGAACGAGATGTCCGCGTGCGCGACCTGCGATACCCTCTCGGTCTCCACGATCACCTGGGCCTTCGCCTTGGAGGCCTTCGAATCCATGAGCTTCACGGAGCCGTTCGTGGTCGCGGTCGACTTCTTCACCTCACCAGTGGCCTTGTTATTCTCCGACTCGCATTGGGTCTTGTCCAGGGCCTGCATACGGCGCCGCCCTCCGCGCTGGCGACGCTTGGCCTCCAGCGCGGTCTTGAGGGAGGGTGTCAGCACCAACAGCCAGGCCGTCCTTCAGCGCCACGTTTCTGTACGCCTTCTGCCCCGACGTCACGGTCCTCTGCTCCTACTTTGCGCATGAGGAAGAACCGCACCATGCAAAGGCACGCGTCGACCTCCTCCTGCATCTCGTCGGAGCCACTGAGGTCCGCCACCTGCTTCTCCTCGTACTCGTGCACCTTGTCGCCGTCCACGATGTGGGGCGACGGGGCCGGCTCGGTAAACACTCCGCGCCAGTGCGGATCGCCGCCGCAATCGCCGCTGCCGCGACCTGGCGACTTCCTCCAGCAGCAGCGCCAGTCGCCGCCGCCTGCGCGAGCGGGCCGAGGGCCACCAGAATCGCGCGCACATCCCCACGGAGGGGCTCGACCGCCGCCATCGCCCGAACGCTCCGCGGGAAGCGGCAGAGCACAGCTTGAGCCATAATTGCTACGGAGGAGGAGGAGGAGGAGGAGGAGGAAGGACCTCCCTCCTCCATTCCCAGAGATCCGATGTTTTGAATTCTGGACACCTTGCACGGGGGCCATCTGGGGGCCATCTTGGAGGAGTTCGATTAAAGAAGGAGGGGGGGGAAATTTGGGTCCCCCCCCCCCCTGGGGGCCAAAATTGGCCACAAACCTCAGTAAGATCAATGATTCGTGCCTTCTTGCCGAAGCCTTCTTGAACGCTCGAATCGGTCGCGTGGCGCCCTGTCCAGGTTATGGGGAGGGTGTCGGGGGAGGGGTAAGCCCCTCTCCCAAGGGGAAGAAGGCGGGTTGGAAGAGGAACCCATCTGAAGCACTCATGCCCTGCAGGGCTGATGGGATTTCTCGTTACAGGGTCCCCAGAATTTCCCGACACCTTCCCCAGGACTGGTCCTCCACCCCGAGAGAATGAGGATGGCGAACACTTCTCCGTTGTGTGATGTTTCAGCGACGCGCGCGGGTCTGGGCCCTCCCCCCCTCCGGACACCGAGGACAAAGCGGCCAAAGCGGCCAAGGATGCCGCGGCCAAAGCGCCCGCGCCCCCGCCGCCGGTGCCAGCGGCCGCCGCCTCGGCCGCTGCAGCTCCGGCGCAGGTGCGGGCATCAGCCGGCTTGGGGCCGTCGGGGATCGAGGAGTAAGTGGTTCGAGGTTCGAGGATCGAAGGTCGAGGGTGGAGGGTCAAGGGTCGGGGATCGGCACGGACTCGGTTCGCCCGAGTCTCGGTTCGACGGGGCTCGGTTCGCCGGGGCTTGGCTGGCTGGGGCTTGTTTCGCTGGGGCTCGCTTCGCCAGTGCTTGGTTCGCCCGACTCGATTCGCCCAGCTCGGTTCGCCAGAACTCGGTTCAACGGGGCTCGGCTTGCCCGACTCGGTTCGCTGAGGCTCGTTTCGCCGGGGCTTGTCCCGCTGGGGCTTGTTTCGCTAGGGCTCGCTTCGCTGCGCCATTGGAGGATTCAGAGGAGAAGGAGGGGGAGCAGGCGGGCGGACCCTAACAGGCGGGTCGGGTCGGTCTGGCGGAACTTTACAGGCGGGTCGGGTCGGGCGGGCGGGACATTCAAGTATGACGCATCATCGAGGTAGCACGCGCGAACCTTAACGGGCGAGCCGGGTCCGGCAGGCGGACCCTGACTGGCGGGTCGGGTCGGGCGGGCGGATCCTGACGAGCGGGTCGGGTCGGGCGGGCGGAGCCGGGCGAATCGAGATTCGGGCGAAATGAGCCTGGGCGAATCGAGCCAGACAAATCGAGCCGGGCGATTCGAGCCCTGGGCGAATCGAGCCAGGCGAACCCAGCTTGGGCGAATCGAGCCGGGCGAATCGAGACTCGGGCGAATTGAACCTGAGCCAATCAAGCCAGACGAATCGAGCCGGGCGATTCGAGCCATGGGCGAATCGAGCCGGGCGAATCGAGCTGGACGAATCGAGCCAGAATCGGGCCCATGCGAATCGAGCCGGGCGAATCGAGCGGGGCGAATCGAGGCTCGGGCGAATCATCTTGCGCCCTAGGGTCGAGGGTCGAGGATCAGGGGCCCGAGGATCGGGGCCCGAGGATCGAGGATCGAAGGTCTAGGATCGAGTGTCGGGTCGGACGAACGGGGAGGATTGGGAAAGCAGGGGTGATCGTCTGCGACCACTTGCGGAGCCTGCCCCTGCGGGTCCAATCGACGCTGGGGTACAGAACACCCCCGCTGGGGTTCTCTTGGCTGCAGGCGTCCTTCGTGTATTCCAGGCCATACGATCATGATTGTTTTGTGGGGGCGAGGACGGGGCGAGTCTTTCAGGTACCTTCGCACTTCGTGTTCATGTTTGTCAGTAGTTGGAAGTCCATTGCAGAGTAAGCGCATCAAAACAGGTTTCAGCCATGAAGGGATGCCTTTGTTTGGCCACACCAGTGGCAAGGACATCTTACATGTTGGTGCGCACGTCGCCGCATGAGGAGTGGCGTCCAGAGACGTGTGGAAAGGATCCCGCTCGTACTTCGGAGTGCGAGTGTCTATCTCCAGACACTTTTTATCCATGCGATCAGTATGGTGTGTGCGCACGTTGCGCTGCTCACACGCCATCATCTATGATCAAATACGGCCTCGAGGAGCCCCTCGCCGCCATGTCTGGGCGCAGCTCTGAAAACGGCCCGCGGCCGATGAGGAGGGCGATTGTCCGCTTGGCAGGGCCATAACACACCATTCGGAGGGACCGCCAGCGCCGCAGATAAGGAGGTATATCAAATTGCCCGTCTGTTCTGCATGGTCGAACCTGGATCTCGATTCTGCCTCTGCAACGAAAGGTGGCCAGTAAAACTGGGTGTTTCCCGTTCGATTGTCGCCAGCCAGCGCTCCTTGTTGCACTTTTGTGTGCTGTTTCTCATTTTTTGTTTTGTTTTTTGTTTTTCTTTGTGTGTTATTTGTTTCGTAAAACAACGTGCGCATGTGCGTGAACGGGTGTGTTTCCTTGCGTGTGCATGTGTGTTCCTGGTGTCCACTGGTACGCCATATGCTCAATAACGCTACGACGAGCAGTTCAGGGAGGTCCGGGCGGCGTCAGCGCCGCCACTCCGCTTCGGGTCGTTCGCGACGGAAGGGGCCCTCCGGTGAGCGCTCCAGAAAATGTTCGCGTCGCTGGTCCTGGGGGAGGTCCTCGACGCGGCCCGCGTCCCGGCACCGGTCCCCCCGCGGCCCCAGGCGCGCCGCAGCAGCCGTGGCAGCTTTTGCGCGTTCCCCAGTAGGGTCCTCCTGGCCGCGCACGGCCCGCTGGGCACAGAGGCGCTACAACTCCAGATTGCGGAGGCGCTCCGGGGAGCGAGCTTCAGTGCCGATTGGCAGCTCGATGTCGCTTAGCAAGAGCTCCTTCAGCACGTATTCTTTTCTGTGACAAGAGGTGCGGAGCTAACGCTGTGCCCGCGCGCGCAGCAGTCAGCAGCCCGAACCGCGGCAGCGAGACAGCCTTCTCTCGCCAAGCGCGTGGGGAGGGCCGTGCGCAAGGGACAGAAGAGAGGCAGAGGGTGCGAGCCCTCCAGCAGCACAGCTCAGGCAACAAGGAATTCGACGCGGCTGCGTTCCTCAAGGCATACCGCCTGCAAGGCGCGAGGCACGAGCGCATCGCGCCGCGCAGCGTCTTCAGGGCTGGTGGCCAACGTGCGCAAGCTGGTGGGGCGCTGGGGCGTCTTCGTCCGAGGCGGGGCGAGGTGGTGTCCTCAGTAGAACGGGGAAGAGCGCAAACCGCGCCCAGGCGACATCACGCGCGCGCAGTGGAGTGCGCTCTGGTGTTCGAGCCCTGGCCCAGCTGACGGTGCAGGCGCACTCGGGCCGCGAGGCTCCCACGGTCCAGTCGTTGCTGTCCGCGTTCTTAGACGCCAGCCGCATGGCAGTGGAGGGCGCCGGCAGGGTATCCACAGAGTGCGACACTTCGTTGCGGGACGAGCTGGCGGAACGCACGATTCGCAAGGACGAGTCGAGAGAACCGCTGGGCGCGCGCGCGGCGGCGATCGCAGCAATGGCGGCCCGCCAGTAGGGCATTTCAGGCGGCGGCCAGGGCGGCCCGAACGGCCAAGCGGGCCCAACCTTCGCCGCCCCCCGTCAGCCCCTGGCGACGAAGCCGCCGCCCCTGCCGGCGCCCGCTCGGAAGGGGCCCAAGGGAGCGGGCAAGCGCCATTCGGGAGATATGACCGACATTTCTTGTTTGGCCGCGAATGAGAGCGATGAGCAACGACAGAGAGTTGATTCTGACGCGGTCGGGTTGGAGACAACGCGACCAGGTGCGAGCGAGGCATGGTCGCACTTGGAGGCTTCGTGGGCGCAGGTCGAGGATTTTACGCCGGAGTCGCTGTTGAGCCCGCGTGAATTTGCCGATCACCCGCCGGGTTTGCATCGAAATGCATTGTTCGCCGCGCAGCGCTGTAGAGCGGGACAAACATCCCACGCGCGCGACTTCCAAGCTTGAAGAGAGTCTTCCCTGGGAGGAGTTGGGCGCAGTGACTGTTCCTACGCGCGAGATATGCTGCGGGGTTTTCCCCATCGCAGAAACATTGCGTGTCGGTGGCGCTGGCATTGACGCCCCGGGCGGGCATCGCAGTGGGGGCCGGCCCGGTCTCGGAGGCCCCCGGCGCCTGGGCGAGCTGCGGCGCGAGTGCCGCCGTCTGAAGTCAGAGACTCTGCGGGCGGCTCAGAGGCGCCAGGCCTCGGAAGTATCTGGTGCCGAATTGGCGGCTGAGATCTGGGTCCATGCGCTGGAAAACGTAGCTGAAGGTCGGGCAGGGCCGCCAGTCCCCATCTGCGCGGGCGATCGTGGATGAAATCTCGTTGGTTGACATCTCCGAGATTCGGGGGCAGCGGGGGGGCTCGGCTGCGCAGAAGGCGAGGGCTTTATCCGTGGCTGCAGGAAGACTGGCGTTAACGAGTGCGCTTTCATACCGCGGAAGTTTGAATATGTCAGCTTTCGCGAGCTCGTGGCAGCCCCCCAGGTTTGGGAGTCCCGTTGTAGTCCCGCGTCTTCGGTGATCTCGAGATGACGTTGCCGGGTGGCGCCAGACTGCAAGAGCAATCCAGCGCGTCGTGTTGTGGTTGTTCATTTTGGTCGTTCGCGTCGTAGCTGATGCGCCCTGGGCGCGCCCGGGGTCCGCGCCCCCAGCGTCGGCCCCGCGGCCGAATTGGCGCGCGATGTCTTTCAGGAGGTGGTCGAAGAGCTGCGGGGTGGCGCCATGGCCCCTGTAAGCGCGATTCCGGGGCGTCCTTGGCGTTTCTCTGTTCGCACATTCGCGGCGGAGGCGGCGAGGCCCAGTGGGCCCGCGACAGGCGGGGGTCAGAAAAATGGTCGCGTGACATTCAGAGCGCAAATGCGTCCAGGGTGCTGGCCCTGGGTCTTTCGGCGAAGTTGCGCGGCAGATTTCAGAATCTGAATCCTCGCAAATTTCAGGGGGTCGTGCGCGCTTTGATTCGCCCGAGGAATTGGAAACAACAACAGAGTGCGAGGCCGCGCGGTCTGACGCCTCGCACTAATTCTGCCGGGCTTGGTTTTTCCGGGGTCGTTGAGAGCGGCCTGCGCGCGTGCGATCCCTCTGCCCTTGCCGGTCCACTCGCCGCATGTGATTTTGTGTTCTGGCGCCGAACGCGCGGGCCAGGTATGGGGCAGTCGTTCGGATCCACGACCCTGTCATCGTGCTCTTGAGCGGCGGGCTCCTGTGGCGCGCCTGTAGGCCGCTCTGTTCGCGCGGGGCAAACGCTGTTGGCTGTGAGCTGCTGGCAGCTTTGGTGGGCGTCGCGTCGTTGTCTCCGCGGGATTTGACCAGTTGCCAGATTGTGCATGTCGCTGACAGTTCAGCAGCGTCGTCGTGCGTGGTGCGCGCATGCCCCGAGAAGCTGGGCCTCGCAGCCTGACCTCGCCCAGATCGCGGGTCGGGTGTAGTTCGGGCTGGCAGAGAGTTCCGTGTGATTTCCTGCCGAGTGCGCACCGTCCCGCGTGAACCTTGCCGATGGCCCCATCGGAGGATGAAGTGTCTTCCCTGTTCAATCCTGGCGCTCGGGTGGTAGCGGCGTTCGGGCGGCCGAGGTTCAGGGGGGATTTTGGCGGGTGGTTGAAGGGCTCGGAGTTGCGCCGGCTGCTGTTGTGGCGCCAGAGCCAGGGCAAGGAATGATCATGCGAGGCGTCCACCACCGTCGTTGCCGTCGATCTTGCTGTGCTAGGTGCTTTAGTTTCTGTCGCGGGGGCTTGCGAGGGCCGCGCCGTTGTCGCGGGGGGTCGCGAGGGCCCGAGCTCTGCTGGCGCGCCGCCACCTGTTGCGTGGCGATGGCCGCTTTGACAGGGCGCGCCCCTCGCGATGGCCTCTCATGGGCTTGGCCCGCCCTGGGCGCGCGGCTCGCGCGCGGCGCGCGCCGCGGTGGTTGTCGTCGCGCCTGCTGAGGTCAATGTTCCGTGCGTTTTCGCAGTGGCTAACGAGGGCCCATTGCGCTCGTGAGAGCTTGTTCTCGTGGCGGCGTGCCGCCCTCAGCGGTGCTGCAGCGGCGGCTGTCCGCCTGGCGCTATGTTGGCCGTCGCTTTATTTCGCTGTGCGATTCGCTGGAGTATCTGTCGTGGGCCACGGGGGTCTGTGGACCCCGAGACGTCGGTTTGTCCCGGCTCGTGTCCGGCGTGGGTCTTGTCTGTCCGCCCCGAGGCGGGCCCGCCCGTGTTTGCGGCGAGGCGCGAACCGCGGTGCGTTCTGACCTTCCGCGCGCAAGACAGGTCCAAGCTGCCGGGGCTGCCGTCGCGAGCCTTGCCCGCGCGCCAATCGCGTCGCTGCCGCGCCGCCGTGGCGCGGGTGGGAAAATGCGCGCCACATCGGCGCGAGCCGCGCAATCATTTGGCCGCGGCAAGATCCGCGGCAGGGGCCATGATGGCAAGGAGGCGTTGTAATTGATGCAGGCCCTCCTCCTAGCCTTTTTCCTCCCGTCCTCCTCTTCCCCCCCCCTCCTTCCCCCGTGTCGTTTCCGCTTGCTTCTCCGCGCCCTTGCAGTGCGCCGTGCTTGGATTAATTCGAGGCCGCGCCCCAAAGACAATCGACGTTCACTTGGCCTGGGCACGCGCGCCCAGCGCGAGTCGTCATTTTTTTTTCTTCTTCTTCCTCGCGTGTGTGTTTTCCGGGGGGGGGGGGGGGGGGGCGCGGGGCGCCTTCTTCGTTTTCGCGCGGCATCAGCGTATTTCCTTGGCGCGAGTCGGGCTTGGCGCGCGCGCGAGGGCCACGAGGTGCCTGGAAGCAGGATTGGTTCGACCCCGCGCGAGCAGTTCCAGGCGAAGGGTCTAAGCGCGAGTCAGGAGGGCTTCATGTGCTCGAGTCATTATTCAGCGCCCTCGCATCTCGTCGTTCCCGCCCCCCTTCTCGCATCGTTGCTATTGTCGATCGGTCGTCGGTCGTGCGCGCGTTGCGTTTCGCAGGGGTGGGCCGTCGTGTCGTCGAGGAGTCATGGGGGAGCGCGCGCGGCGAGGGCCGCGCGCAGAATTGCCTTGGGGGCGAGGTTTTTCGGGCACCCCCCCCTTTCCCTGTTTCCTTGGTTTCCAATGTGCCATTCTGGCCCTCGCCGTCTTGCTGCTTATCTTCGCATGGGCGCAGCGACCCGCGCGCGTGTTTGGGGTGTCCAGACGAAGCGGGCTTCTCGAGAGCGGCGCGAGCCGCCTTGAAGCGCGCTTGTTGCGGCGCGGCTGCAGTGCGGCGCCGGTTCCGCGTCGCTTGCGCGGCGCGAGCCGCGCCGAGCGCCGGGGCGCGTCGCGCGCAACGTCGGCCCCCGGCGCTCTTGGGGGTCGAGCAGGCCGCGATCTCGCGGTGGCGTGCGTGCCGCCCGCGGCCGCGCTTGGCCCGAATACTTCGTGCAGCAATGAAGCCGTTCGCGCTCGTCGCATTCAGCGGGCGCCAGCCTCGGGTGGGCGCCGCCGTTGCCCCGCGCGCGATCGCGAGAT